TTTGCAGGATCACTGCATGGGTATTAGTCATCTCCCACCCCGTGTTCAGGTTCAGCACTCTCCTTTTGCTGCGTAAATGCACAGAACACACAGCACAGGAGCTGTTGATGGCACCATCTGCAAAAGCCTAATGGCTCATTCATTAAGCAGTGGGAACCGGCGCCGCCACAGTCTAATCAGATATTGTATGATGAATAATTCAAAAATAATCCTTGTATACTTGAATAAATATCAGGAGGAGGAAGGAAAAAGCCCCATACATATGGCACGTTAAGGGAACAAAACAGGCATTCTTCAATGTGCCAGGCTGCTGAGCTCTGTGTACTGATGTTAATCATGCAGGTGGCTAATTCCTGACGAGGAACTGACTGAGGGGTTTTGGCCCAGCACTCTGAAGGTGTTCATAAGTGGAAAAGAGCACAGTGTCACGGAAAATCCAAAAATCCATAAGCCTCACATTCTGCAATATGCCTGTGGTTGTTTTGTGTAAGCAGCTGGGGGACTGAGTTTGGGAGGTCTGGCCTGAGGCTGTGCTCCTTGTGCTGCTGGGCAGATGGCAGTGATCAGGTGTGTGCTGTCCCTCAGCAGCTCTGCCTGCACACCCTGAGCTGCTGGTCTGACTAAAGTACTGGTGTGCTGCACTCGCAGCGCTGTGACCAGTGCTCAGGGAGCCTCAGGGGGTCATGCTCTAAAAATGGAGTATACAGACATAAAGTATTAGGGTACGTATTTTTTCACCAGAGCCTGTAGTGACAGGGCAAGGATGACAGTTTTAAATTGACAAAGGGCAGGGTTAAATTGGAAATAAGGGAGGAATTCTTTCCCGTGGGGGGAGAGAGGAACTGGCAGATCACCCAGAGGAGCTGTGGCTGCCCCACCTCTGGGAGGAGTCAATTTCTCCAAAAACGGTACTCCTGTGCAGAAGAAATGCCTTTCCAGCTTTTGACAATCATACAATTTTTTTCTATTTCATTTTTCTTATTTCACATCAAGAAATGCTCGGGCTTGAAGGCATGCTTTTGCCAGCCAATGTAACCCTGTGACAGTGCCTTCAGCTGTCTGCCTTGAGCACCAGTGTCACTGCCTGGCAGCTTGAGGATGAGCCAGCAAGTGCTGCAGGCATATGGCCTGTGTACCAGGCCTGCTGCGTGTGCAACACTGAATCTCATATGTGCGCAGATTTTAAGCAAAGCCCTTTTTTCCCCACTGGGAATACACTTCATACCTCATAGTTCATATGCAGGTGAGTGCCTGAGATGTGTGTGCTCTGCTCTTGCCTGCTCAGAGAAGCTGTGATCTCTCAGCTTGGCAAAGCACAGTGTTACCTTATACTGCCCATGTATACATGTGGAAAAACTGAGATATTGACTGTAACTCCACACAGACAGAACTGTTTTAAGCCCATCATCCTCACTGGCTAACTCTGATTTCTTTGGATAATGCTTAGTTTGCTCTGGTTTGTTAACAGTCAGAAAAAAAGGTATCATTAAGCCCTGACAAATTCTCTTGGCTTTGTATTATATATGAATCAGCATCTCTTTTACAGATGACTAAAAATGGGAGTCTTGTTGTTCAAGACATTGCAGTATTTGGGCTTTGACAGTATTCAACATCCTGAGAGTCATTAGAGTTTCTCACTCTTCAGGCTACTTGGGCATTGCAAATGTTCACTCTGTAGCTGAAGATTCTCTCCTTGCAGATGGATAACACAAGTTGCCAACTTCTGTGAACACATTCTTTAAATCTGGGGGAAACTGTCTGTTGTGGAGATGTTCCACAGCTCTGGGCAGTGCTTGTAGATTTCTCCCTACCAAAGTCCTTCATCTTATCTCTTATGCTACCACCTTCTTTTAATAACTCTTATAATTTTAAAAAGCAACCCTGGGGGTTTTAGTCCAAAATGTAACGGAAGATATATTTTAATAATCAGGAAAGGAAAATGATTTTTTTTTTCCCAAGAAAATACCTGGAGATTAGTGCTAGGAGCATCTGAAAAGGGGAAGTTTAATTGTAAGCTGGTTTTAAAATATTGAATGTTTAAATATACATGGTTAAAAGAAAGTACCACTGCATTCTAAACAGTGATAAAAAAAAAAATACAAGTATTCTAAAACAAGAAATACAAGCTTCTGTTCTGCTCTTGTTGATCACGTTAAAATAAATTTTATGGTGAAAAAAGCAATGGAATTAACAGACACTATTAAGCTTTTGCCATAAGTTTTAAAGCTATTACTCTGAAAATAAGTTTAGGATTGGAAATATGGAATCTGTATTTTACCCTTCTTGCTTAAGTTAAGCATGTTTTGCTAGCTAGAAAGGAAATGTTTTGTTATTGTCCTCTCCAAAAGCAGGAAGAACAAAAAAGGCAGTATTTATTCTGACATTAAAAAAATCAAATGTAAACTGACTTCAGTTTTTATTGTGTCAGTCCACCTGCAAAATCCTCTTCAGGCCCAGCACATCTTTAATGTGCAGAAGCTCTGTTTGATGCAGTTAAAATTGATCCCTGTATAGAAGGCATTAAATGAATACACCACTGTTTAGCGTTCTGAATTTCAAGAACCTTAAAATCCTTAGAAGTTAAATAATTTAGAAGTTATTATTATTGCACTCAAGTTCAGCATTCACTGTATAACATCATAACATCAAAGTGTTCTGAGTTGGCAGCACTCCTTGCTGACTGCTCAGAAGGAACAGCAGGCTGCACTGGAGGCATTTCTTCAGGAAAAGAAAAGGAGGGGCTCCAGATTTACCTGGTTCCCAGAGAAAAATGTACAAGTTATGGGACTCTGCAGGTGTCAGCACAGGTGACCAGGAGAGCCCATCTCAGAACTGGAGTCCAGCTGGAAGCATCCACTGGTGATGGTTTCATTGGTTGGGATGGAGATTGTCCATGTGCAAACAGCGGGGTTGGGAACTTTGAACCTTACTGCTGCAAAGCCAAGGGATAAAACAAGACAAACAAGGAGAATTTCTTCCACCACAGGCTCAAATTATGTGGCACAGTGTCTGGGGGAGTGAACAGGACCTCTGGTAAAAAACTTCAGAGCCAAGACAAAGTCAACATGCCAAAAACTCCTCCCAATGCACAAGTGACTGCAGGGACACTCATGGCGCTGCATCTGTTACTTTGTGTGCTTGAATTAAAAAAACACTGCAGAAATGCTATCAGCCTGGCACAGTTTGTAAAATATACTTAAAATTCTCTTAATTTTATATTTTTTAAGAGAAATACTTAGGGTGACATTTTCTCCCATGGAGATGTCAAGGACACCTAGCTGGAAGGAGAACAAGTAGATTTGTGTGAAAGGCAGCACACACAACAACCTTTGTGCCTTGTATGAACTGTGAAATCAATTAACATTTCAGATATTAATACCAGAGTAGTAGTAGCAGCTGCCATCTTCCTTATGCTACTATGCAAGCTGACCACAGAAATTCAATACAAGAGAGTGTAATTTTCACTTCTTTAATCAAATCGGTTTACTGGTGAATTGGGAAGAAATAGGATGTTGTAATTATCATGGCCTGATTCTACAAGTCACTTGCAGGATAAGCCCAAGGCTTGTGCAAGATGAATTGCATGGCCCTTCTTGAACATTAAACCTAGTGCACAAATCCACTTTCATATAAATCCTAAAATCGATTTATTATATTCAAATTCTAGAAACTTGTCAGACTCACTGTGAGCCACTGCTGACAATCAGTAGAACCTGTGTTCTGCTGCCGTTTTGGTTAACTGGAATAAGTTAGAATTTTTACCGGGAGGCTGGATTGGAGCAGCCAGGATATGGCCCCATGGGTAACTTCCTGCCCTACCGATACCTGCGGGCACTGCTCTTGGGGCAGGAGTTGTGCTTGTGCAGAACACCTTTGGGACTCTGCTGCCTTCCTAAAGGCTCGTAAGAGACGTTAATACACCAGGATTATTGTATCTAGAATATTTATTATACTGGATGCTCATAGCATAAATTTGAAACTGATGTTATGTATTTAAGCCATTAGTATGATTCAATAAAGCGATTCGCGTGCGAAACTGTACATTCTGAAAATGGTGCTGCACGGTGCTAACAGAGAGAGGGCGGGATCTCGTCCTGCCGTTCCTAGCAATGGCGATGCCGCCGGGATGCTGCGCAGCCAACAAAGGCGGCTGGTCAGAGGCAGCGCACGGGCCGCAGGCGCTGTGCCGGCGGGCCCGACAGTGCCCGGCTAACGGGGTGTGGAAGGAAAGGCAGCATCGCTCCGGGACCCAGTTCCCGGACGCGCCCCGGCACCTAGGGGAGGGTGACCTCGGCCGGGCCCAGGCATAGGGGCCGCAGCGCCGGCGGAGGGGCTGAACCGCCAGAGCTGGCAGCGTGTAGCTCCTCCCGTCCCTTTGTTGGCCTGGAACCGGAGCAGCGGCCGCGGGCTCTGCCCCTGGCTGCCCTTCGAGGCCTGAGGCGCTCCGGCACGGGGAGAGCCCGGCGGGCCCCGGGCAGCGTCTCCCACAGCACCCGGGCGACGCCGGCTTCTGCGCTGGGGAGATCGGCCCCGGCGGCCGGCGCGGTTCTGCCCCCCGCCACCGCTGGGGATCCCCCCCCCCCCCCCCCCCCCGACCCCTCCCGGCCCCGGGAGGCCGGCG